ATAGATAGATATAGATAGATAGATATAGATAGATATAGATAGATATAGATAGATATAGATAGATATAGATAGATATAGATAGATAGATAGATATAGATAGATAGATAGATAGATAGATAGATAGATATAGATAGATATAGATAGATAGAGATAGATAGATAGAGATAGATAGATAGAGATAGATAGAGATAGATAGATAGAGATAGATAGAGATAGATAGATAGATAGATATAGATAGATAGATAGAAATATTAGTGATCCTTTTTGTAACCTTGCATGCTCCTTTTTGTAACCTTCAAGTTACGAAAAGGAGCATGTTGCTCCTTTTTGTAACCTGTGCTCCTTTTTGTAACCTAAGGTGCTCCTTTTTGTAACCTATGCTCCTTTATAAGTTGGAATTTAATTTTAAGGTGGAATTTCAATAGTGACCTAAAATCGCTAAAAGGTTACAGTTAACCGCTTTACTTTTTCTCGATTTTAGGCACGTAACCTAGACACATATGTCTGACTCCTAACACTGACTCGTAACTGTGACTCGTGACACGTAACTCCTAACTCTGTCACGTAACTCTTGACATGTAAATGTGACTTGTGACTCTAGGCCATTCCTTCATTCGCGTATCTCAAAAGTATAATCATTATTTTGTATATGAACAATTTACGAGACTTATTGATAGTTTCTCCCAGATATATAGTACGTATAGTGTAAACATATATTTGTAAGACAGGAATTTGCTAAATCACATGTTCGTGTAAAAAATATTTATTAATTAAACAACAACAACAACAATTATTACTAGCAAAGAATTGTTACACCTGAGCAAAGTTAGGTATGCTCAAAGTAATGTGCAGATACATCATTAAGACTACAGGTATATTTTTGTATGCTTTGATATCAGTGCAATGTTTTAGGTTCTTGAAGCCAGTTTTCCACTTCAATCGTATCGTACCAAAACGTAGCGTATTTCTTTGTTTCCTGAGCGGTAGTGTGAAACTAATAACCTCGACACAAAATAAAATGCTATGGTTTGTTACGATACGTTGAAGTGGAAAACAGACTTAATTAAAACGACTAACACACAAAAAATACAAAGTTGGCTCGCTAGGGTTTCAGAAAATTGCGGTGATTTTATGTACGCTTAATTTGTATTTAAATATCATTATTTATAGTCAATTTAATTGCATGTGTGTTTGCCGAAATACTTCTCGAACCGTGCAATAGATGATTCCCCTTATTATTTTTTCGTAGCGCTTTGCATTGTGGTTAGTGGTGTCACTCATGAATTTGAGATGGCTTATTTTTTGTTCTGACCCGTGCAAGCACTTTTTAAAAAAGCCCAGCAAAATATTTGCGAAAATATTAAACATTTTCATTTGAGGCCGCTATCTTTATCAGTGATACCACTATAACCACAATGCAAAGAGCTACAAAAACGTAATCGTGAATTGCTATACTAATTTGTTACCTAAGTATTGAAAAATCCAGTGTGTTGGAAAATTAAGGATTAGGTTAAAACAGGGTTCGTACACCTTCATAATTTAAAAAATCGAGGGTTTTCTAGGACTTTTTTCATCCTTTTTCCATGGGTTTTCCAGAGGCATTTGAAATATAAATCTAAGTGTTTAACCGATAAGAAACGTTCGCGACTTCTAGTACTTCATCTTGCACAGATACTTTTGGGTTTGTACCAGTTTGAACGAAATATATTCATAGTTTGACTATATATAATGCAAGAACCTTTTGTTCAATCTTTCTTTTTAAGATAGTGTTAACTAGTTTAGGTATGATCCTATACCCAGCTCAGTTTCTCAGGGGTTTGTCAGGACTAAAATAAAAATCCAGAGTTTTTCAGAATTTCCAGGGGGCGTACGAACCCTGTTAAAAGCTTGCATGCAAAACCACAACTGTCTAACATTTGAATGTTTGTTCAACCAAATTATTTTTTAGCTTTTTTCTGCAGCTCCTTTCTCTGGTCGGCACGAACAATGGCTTTTCGCTCAGAACGCACCCTATCGGCCAATTGGCGGTGGGTCATAGTTTTCAGTAGGTGAGAAAGCTTCGGTTCTTTCTGCACGGTTTCCGCCACTGTTTTCATTGCGATTGTTTTTGTGGAGTGGATCAGCTTGGAAAACGTTTGACTAAATAAACGATCTTCCTCCATCGTGAGGAGTGACTGTGACGTCCTTTTGGAAGTCTGTACAGATGGAGCATACTCATCATCATCCCCATCACCACCATTTTCATCTGTGTTATTTGCATTATCTAGAATTCATGGAGTAATGTTAATGAATTGATGTTATTTATTTAATACGACATTGGATAATCCAGGCAAAGGACGCCATCATGATGGGCTCAACCTCAAACCAGTATTTTACATATATACCCAAAATTTCCGGTTTGTTAATGGGCCATTCCATTTAATATAAGCACCCCCTCCTACTGAGGGGTCCCTTTCATAATCGCCTTAGGATATAAAAAAATTTGGAACCCCCTTGGATGCAATTTCTGGAAGTTAACCCCGGAGGATATCTTACTAATCCCTTTAGGATATCGCTTTCTCAGACATCACTAAAAATTAATAAAAGACGAAGACCCTCTCCTCCATTATTGGATATCCAAATCATTCAATGGGGGGGGGGGGGGTTGCACATATTAAGTTTAACAGCCAATTTTCAAATAAAAGTTACTAACCTCTTTCCTCGGTAAACATTTCGTCCAGTGAATGTGAATCTATAAGATACAGCATTTTAAATGAATAAATTATTATTATTATGCTTGTGATGTTACTATGAGTGTATATCCACACCGAGCAGAGCAAGCTTGAAAAATATGCCTGGCCATGGTGGGAATCGAACCTATGACCTTTGGAATACTAGCCCAATGCTCTGCCAACTAAGCTACGCGGTCAGGTAGGTTCGAGTATGTGATATTTGGGAACTGAGTCTAGTTCCTTCGATATCAATGTAATCTAGTAATCATGATATTTTCTGTGTTGATGTAATGTACTCGGGTGAATATGATGCTTGCGATGTTACTCTGAGTGTATATCAACACCGGGCAGGCTTGAAAAATATGCCTGGCCACGGTGGGAATCGAACCTACGACCTTTGGAATACCAGCCCTATGCTCTGCCAACTGAGCTACGCGGTCAGGTTGGTTTGAGTATGTGATAATTCGGAACCAAGTCTATTTCCTTCGGTACAGGTATTATATGCGAATCATACGCATAGCATATCATATGAATATGCGTATCAACCACGTTCGATATATGCGCATATACAGTGCGTGTCAGCTACATTTGATACTGTACGTGCGTATATACGCATATACAAGCTATTTCAATTAAGCTGTTGTCCCAAAGCAAAGAGGAAAAGTCGAATACGAACGTGAAAGGCTTGCCAGGCATCGCTTATATATGTCGCGTGTATAATAGCCTTTTTGTACGCGTATATACAGTATATTCGTATAATGCGCTGATATGATATCCATACTTGTTTGAAAACATGTTTGTACGATAGGCGTATTCGCATGCACATACCCGTATGATTAAGATATACGTGAGCAGTACTGTATGTGTTATCAGTCTTGAATTACATCATAAAAAAACACAAAACCTTTCTTTATGTGCTTCTATACGGCCATAGAATCATTTGTCACTTATGGGACGTTTTGGGAGAAGAGAACGGAAATGTTTTCTATTTCTCATATGTATATGATGAACATAAATTTTGATATCAATTCTTCATGACAGATGGGTACTTGTAGCTTTCACTCATATGCTTTTTACCTAAAATGTAACCACTGTACAATTTATCTGCCAGGTACTCTGTGTATGACTGAAGCTGGGTACTTTATGAAAGCCTGTCCCCAAAACTACTCAAAACCTGTATCTCAGATATACTGTACCGGGACCTAATAATCAGCATATATATATGAAGTAAGTTCCATTATCTAGCACCCTTTTCACAAAGCCTAGAACTCTTGGAAATACTAATTTTTAAAGGCCAATTTTAGGATGAGTTACTAACCTATTTCCTCGGCAATCAATTCATTCTGTGAGGTCTGCTTTGTATCTATAAAATACAACATTGAAATGAAAACTGTCAGTAAGTATAAGATACTTTAAAACATTTCAAACAAGTGCAACTTTCTCTTTATAGTCTTGTTTTGGGAATTTAATCGACACGTATATTTAACAACCTGAATATAAGGCATCGGCCAATTTTACTATAAAACCATTTATAAAATATCATAGCAAAACACTTCATTGTTCTATCTGATCCTTTGGTAGTTATTGATTAACTATATTAACTATTGATTATAGTACGCATTTTGAAATCCACTATTATTATACTTTTTGTATAAAGAGTACTGAGTACAGTCCTCAAAGAGTAAAGAAAGTAATAGCACGAGACCAGGAAGTCAAATGAGCCATTGAACGCCAATAAGATAATCACAAATAATCACTTGCGTCCACGATTTGTTTTTCGATTGGTCAGAATTAAGAGTGGCCGTGTGAGAGAATACGTCTCGCGCGAAAAGTAAAATTAGCTTTGGAAGTTCAATAAAGTTAACTTTGGAACTTCACGGTTCTAATATTGACCGGTTAATAAAATTAACTTTGGAACTTCACGGTTCTAATATTGACCGGTTAATAATTTATAAAGAAGATTTCAGAATTCATTTAGTAAATACAAGCACTATTCATCACCAAAAGGCATACGATAGAAATACATTCACCATATATACAAACATAATCTCTAACGAGTGATCAAACACAAACTCTAACGAATGATCAGACTAAAATCCAAAATCGTAAAATGATCTAAAAGTTAAATCATTTTACAATTTTGGATTTTAGTCTGATCATTCGTTAGAGATTATGTTTGTATATATGGTGAATGTATCTCTATCGTATGCCTTTTGGTGATGAATAGTGCTTGTACTTACTAAATGAATTCTGAAATCTTCTCTAATCCTGAATGTGTGTAGTTCCTGTCCACCACGATTAGCTTTTGCTAGTTGTGGACAGCAAGATCTTTGTTGATTTTGTAAATTAGTTTGACATAATAAATTGAATTGTTTCATTGTTGACCGGTTGCCCCATCGCCAAACCATGCAGTGAACATGACGTTTTGTGGACCGGCACGTGATACGGTTTTGAACAATAGACCTTTTTTGAAATGTTTGCCTTGTGACGTAGTTTGCGGATCAATGAGATTATTTGTCCAATCAGGCAAGCCAAATGGCTTGGCGGGGTTTTCCGTTATCCGCAAACTACATCACAAGGCAGACTTTTTAAAAAGTTCTATTGGCCAACAGAAAAATTACTATATAACAATACATTTTACGTACACTAACTATATAACAATACATTTTACGTACCCCTTTTACGCTTCAGACCAGCTCGTTTCAATCGTTCTTCCTTTGACTCAATTTCCTTTGGCAGTGATAGTGAATCCTCAATCAGTGAATCGTCTTTCCCAAAGTAGGAGCGTACTTTGTCACAGATTTTCTTAGGAGGTATACTTTGCAGTGGTGGAATGCTTCTAACAATTTCTCTAACTTCTTCCAATCTTATTGCCTTCTTCTTGATATGGGAAGAAAAAGCAACCTCTAAGGCGCAGGTTTCAGAAAGTGACCATATATGTCTTGAGGATGTGTTTTCAGACAGTGGCTCATCGCACGACAGTTCCTCACCTTCATGTGAATCACCTTTTTCTGTTGAGCAAGATGCACCACCCGACCTCATTATTTTAGCTAATTCTTTTGAGGTCTGTACTGCAGATTTACTTTTATTCTTCAGCAAATAATACTTGTCCGCAGTGGATTTTTTGTGGACCATAAGATCTGCAAGGTCACTGCGCATGTTCTCATTGCATTCATGCACAGCCGAAACTGCCGCTTTGCGGAAAGCAGTTGCTCCACCCAAAGAAGTATCTTTGCCGAATACCTTCCCCCAACAAGACCCGATCTGAGCGCCAACTTGCGACGACTTCATCTTTCCATTATTCCAAGTCATAAATACTGGAGCATTCGCATCTGTGGTCACACCAACCAATTGATTTCTAAATTTCTCAATAAAAATACTCACGTATTTAAAAAGAACTGACTCTAAAACAATATTCACTGGACCGTGTGTGGCAAATGTTTTGTGGTCTTTAACTCTGACGACAAAGCATTCATCTTCTTTGGTACCTTTATTAAATTCTCCGAGAGTCATATTCGCAAGTGTTCCAGATCTACTTCCGTTGTTGATGCAGATAAGTGTTAATAGATAGTCCCTAACTAATGTATATTCAGGCTGGCTGGGAGAGCCTATTTCACTCTCTTGGTATTCACCAAGCAAACGTATAGCTGTCCTTGCAATTTCCGCAGTTTCAAATTGTTTAATTTGCTCTGGTGTTCGCATTGACGACATGTCTTCCATACGCTTTTCCCAAAAGCGATGGTTGGTCTCCTTTCTAAGTGATTTTGTCCACAACTTTATTTGATCGGAGAGACTAGTAAGCTGCTCTGACGAAACACCGACATCGACTTTTTCACATTTTAGAAATGAATAAAATTGATTCAATGAGCCCAGATACGACTTCACAGTCCCAGGCTTCTTTTCCTTGTCAAATTTATCAAGCCATTTGTCGCGGAGTGTATTTTTGCGTAATATATTATTGATCGTCGGATTAGAATTGTCCACATAGGAGATAACAAGTTCAACTTGTCTGCGACACTGAACAGCGGAACGATCTCCTCTTTTTCCACCATCAGCACCTTTCAGCCAATTTTCAAAAGTATTCAAAATACTTTGTTGGTTCCCATCTAATTCAACAGGAGTAATTGCATCGTCATCGTCTTGAAAGTCGTTACCTATTCCAGCAGACTCGCCACAAAATTCAGTTGGTTCTTCTTCACAACTTTCCTCATTACTACCGTAAACATCATCATAAACATTTGTAAGTTGCTTTACATGGCTTTGCGACTTCATTTTCTTCGGGAGCGACCAGTCAGAATCAGCAGATGAATCATTGTCATCACTGTGTTCTGACAACTCAGAAGACTCCGTTTCGCTAAGAACTGACACTTGATGATGTTGTTCATGCATAGTACATGCAAGCCATTTCTTGTAATTTGTACTTCCTTGTTTAAATTTGTGCACATCAATTAGATGGTTATGAATTCGTTTGACAACTGAATTGCACTCGTCGACGGGACAAACCACTCTCCTGTATGATCGTTTCGTTTTTCGCTTGGATGCCTCTTTCGTTCTCCTCAAGCTAAATGTGTTCAGCACAGAACGTGCCTTTCGTGGGCTCCACCGATGACGCTGCCTCATATGGCGGGGAAGATGGATAACGGCCGCCCCACAATTAGAATATGGGCATAAATATTTTTTTGATCTTTCTTTCTGCTTTTTCCCAGACACAACTGACTGGGATTTTTCACTGCACTGTTCTTGTAGAGTTTCGTCAGTTTTTTCACTGTACTGTACAGGTACAGGTACAGTTTCATCAGTTTCCATTTCAGAACCCTACAAAAAGAAAATACATCACCCTCTGAATAAAATCTAACGTGTTTGTAAAATCCACAATTTGAGTCATCCATAAATCTAGGATGAGTTTATGATACGCACAATCGCACATAAATCTAGGATGACTTTATGATATGCACATATATACTTTTAATACAAAGTATTAAAAGTATACTCGGGCATAGCAAATAAAAGATGGTGATACGTGTAGTCTCGTATCACTTATGGTCCAACGCTATGAATTCAGGAAATTTTGATAACTTAATATAGTCTTATTTGTATTGAGATTTTAGTAACCATCAATGCAAAATTGAAACAGCGGTATCATTCCTAGTACACATACTTTGCCAAATTACCAGTAAAAAATTGCAATAAATATTAAACAATTAAGAAAAAATTAAACAATTAACTTAGCAAAACACAATCTAACATGCCAAAAAACTTTTGAAAGGTATTTTCTGGTAAATAACACTGATGTCAGTCAACTGAAACAAAAGTTTTCTGTAGAAAACCCATTGAACTCAAATTACAGTAAAAAACAAATTCTCGGATCAAATAATACCCCTATTACTGTGGTATTTTCAAGCCAAATTGCATAAAACTTCACTAGTATTTAAGGTAAGCATTATAAGTGGTGGTTCCAGTTGAACTATAAGTACTTACTAATAGTATTATATCATTAGCAGGCCTTTTTATAAGGTTTAATAAGATACAAATTAAACAATTAACTCAGCAAAACACAATCTAAAGTGCCGTTTACACGAGCAAATTCTATTTGACAAATGTCATTTGATCAAAAGCTGGCATGCTAGCTTTTGTTCAAATGCATTTGTCACAATAAATTTGCAATTGTCACAAATTTATCATCTACACACGAGCAAAATATCTTTGACAAATGAAATGAAAATTGTCAAATAAAATTTGATTTTTTTTCTGTGTTGGTGTAGTGTACTCAGGTGAATATAATGCTTGTGATGTTATCGAAATATCACATACTCGAACCGACCAGACCGCGTAGCTCAGTTGGCAGAGCATTGGGCTAGTATTCCAAAGGTCGTAGGTTCGATTCCCACCGTGGTCAGGCATATTTTTCAAGCTTGCCCGGTGTGGATATACACTCAGAGTAACATCACAAGCATCACATTCACCTGAGTACATTACACCAACACAGAAAAAAATCATGATTATTATTAGATAACATTGATATCTAAGGAACTAGATTCTGTTCCGAAATATCACATACTCGAACCGACCAGACCGCGTAGCTCAGTTGGCAGAGCATTGGGCTAGTATTCCAAAGGTCGTAGGTTCGATTCCCACCGTGGTCAGGCAAATTTTTCAAGCTTGCCCCAGTTGCCCGGTGTGGATATACACTCAGAGTAACATCACAGGCAAAATAAAATTTTGCTTCTTGTTCTGTTCTGTTTTGATATTTTATCACACTTTCCTTTCAATTTTTCCTTGATTCAATTGTGAAACTTTACTTAGTTCAGTTGATAATGGTAACATATACTCAAACAATTGAGATACAGTATATAGATTGTGCAATAAAGCGCCAAAGTTTAGTACAGTATACTCACTCGTTTTGACTCATCACATTTTTGCTGTCCATTGTATCCTGGATCCTGAGTATCACCCTCATCATCAGTCTCATGCAGCAATGCTTCAATGCCATCAAGGTATCCGATGATCTCTTCCTTAGCTTGCTGTAAAACAAAAATATTTTGCTCATCCATTTTATAGTATTGTCCAGATGCAATAGCCTCTGTTGACGACTTTGAAAACAAACACAAAAATGACAGAGAGAGAAACAAGGGTAATATTTTGTCGTGGTAATTAGTAAAAAGTATGTACACCAATTATTATTCAAAGTTTACATTACAACCCTACAGTATTTACTAAATTAAGGCAAGCAAGTACTCATACTACCCAGTAATTTGCACATGCTTGCTACTAGATACAGTGCTTGAGGGAAGTAATGTATAACATTGTATATAAACAAACAGGTCTCCTCAATACATGTCTTCAAATTCGTCTCACATGTTATAAGTTACAGATTACATGATTGTTGGCTTGCTTATTACAATATTACTGTAGGTGTTTGGCACAAGTCAGGGATCGCAGAGCTCACCCAAAGCATAATAACTGACATGTTTTTTTCGGAATTAGTTAAATTTTGATTGCAAAGGCGAGTTTTGTATGTAGAACTTTCTACTTCCAAATCACATTCAAAACAACAGATAATCATTTTTTTATAATTGCACCATTCACACATCATTATCCGTTCTTCTTAATTAATGTATTTGGCACACAGAAAATTCAATATTTGAAACTGGACAAACTAACCTTATCTGGTAATTCAATCTTTATATCAATCTTTCTATTGTCTTTCTCATCTTCCCAGTGATCAGAATACTCACCACCCAAATTCTAAAAAGCAATAACTCACACTTTAATCCCCGAGGCGACGGCATGAAGCGCCATGTGAGGGTACTAATTCCCGCCGGCTATTTACACCCGGGGAAACGAAAGCATTAGCCAAGTCTAAAGTTCATCAATGAGTGCGGGCGTGAGTTACTGCATGCATGTATTTTCTAGTATGAATTATACTCAAGGGCTTAGCAAAGCGATTTATTGGGGGTAACACCCCAACAGGTTTTTTGAAGGATAATTGTCATACCCTAGATCCAGAAAATGAAGGGTCGAGCACTTCTATCATGAGCCTCTGGCTTGAGTGATTGGGTAACCACACTCTGTGTCATTCGACATTAAATAAATTATTCTATTCAATTCTAAGGGTAGCTAGAGCTCATTGAGGCAAAAAATAACATTCAACATAAAAATAATATAAAAACACTTATATAGCATATTGTACTCACTTTTACAGCAGTTTCTAGTTTCAGCACCAGAGCCAGTATTTTTTCCTTGTTGCCAGCAGTCTTTGCAAAACTAAAAGCTGCTGTTACAAGGCAACCCATGTTTGTTATGCTGTATTAGTCTCTTGCAACTGCAAATTAAAAAAATAAAATTAATATAAAATAACTACAAATTACACCATTTAAAAATGGATCAAAATCTCTGAACGAAAAATTATGGGTAAATGGGGCACTTTCTCAGTATGAGTAACCAATATAAGCATACAATACTTTCACACATGGCATACTTTAATATACCTTATCCTACCTTAGTATACTTTAGTGTACGTGGCATACCTTAGGCTATCTTAGCCTACTGTAGGCTACCTTAGAGTACCTTAACCAACCTTAGACTACCTTAGGGTACCTTAGACTACCTTACAGTACCTTAGACTAACTTAGCCTACCTTAAAAACAATAAAAATGTTAAATACAGTAATAATACAACTATAATATGAACAAATAAGTTCTAAATTTTTGACAATGAATTAACTTTAACTACCAATTTATTTCAAAATAAAATAGTCGACAGATAAATAATTAGATTTTCCTCCATTTTTCCTTAGCCTACCTTTAAAAAAAAAATTTCTGTAATTATAAATACTTCTTTCTTTTGTCTTATATGATTGTGTTATTTTTGTATTTATCTTGCCTTGCCTCGACTAGCTCTGTAGCTACTTGCAGGGTAAGTTATTTTTGTATTAATAAGTTTAATTAATGAAAAGTTGTAAGTTGTTGTTTAACATGCATAATACTGCTCTGGTAATATGGTAAAATAAATTGAAGCTAACTTGGGCAAAGTTAATACTCAATTAACTGCATGTAAACATATGGTATATTAAGCTGGATTTGCACTTGGAAGAAAAAATTTGGCTGTCGAAATTTTTCTCTCAATTTTGTTGTGAATTGTGAGGGGTCATTTAGGCGACATAAAATAAATTCCTTGATTCTCATCACCGCCCGACTGTATTTTAAGAGCAGCGTGAAATTTTTTTATATTTTGTTATACAATATAAATGAACCGCCCGACAAAATATTTCAAGACAGTTAAGTTTTTTATATTTAAAATTGGGTTTTTAGTGCCATTTTAAACTGCCAATTTCAAACAAATAGAACCTTGAAAGAAATTTCATTGCATTTTAACGGAACTTCGCATTCAGTTCAAGGGTTCAGTCATTGTTCGTGGAGAAATATGTTCATTTTGGTTTGTGACACTTCACTTTGGAAATCACAGAAATATTAAATGTTAGGAATTTTTTTTTTATTTATTGATGATAAATTAATATATAAATATAAAATATAAACCTCCCGGCTCTTCGACATTTTCAAAGTCTAGTGATGAGAATCAAGGAATTTATTTTATGTGGCCTTAGAACCGATTTAGTCGGATGGTCAATTCAAAACAAATCAGGGGAAATATTTCAACAACAACATATTTTTTCTGTAAGTGGAAATCCACCTTTACTGACACAATTCTGACAAATTGACGTGTTGCAATTGTTTTTCAACTGTGCAATATGCCAGTCCTTAATCAACCCTCCTAATCCTCAATTTGTTTCTAACTTTAGCCTACATTGGACTGCTTTATCCTACTTCAGACTACCTTTGACTAGGCCAAATATCGAAAGTACAATCCATGCAAAACTTTTCCATTGGTAAGCTAAGGTAGTCTAAGGTAGGCTAAGATGGGCTGAGGTAGTGTAAGGTAGTCTAACGTGGACTAAGGCACCCTAAGGTAGGCTAGGGTACCCTATGGTAGTCTAAGGTACCCTAATACTGGGTCTGAAATTTGCAGTATCCTGATATCCACAGGATACCAAAAATGTGGTTTTGGATACCAAACTGTGTGATATTGTAAACTTTATTGGACACTAAAACAAGACATACCTAGTATATAGTGCAAACAGGACTCGAAGTCCCATGCGAGGCACTCTACCTTTTTACAAATTATTTAAATAATTTACAAAATTATTGTTACGATTACTATGCTACAACCAAAATGAACATATGCCAAAAATGAATCACTTGTATCCTGACTGGATAGTAAGAAAATGTCAAACATTAAAAAATGTTCAACACCTTTGACAGGCTCCTGATAGCTTTTGAATACCATCAGTTTGCCACCAGTCTTTCCTCATTGAGGACCACCATACGATTATTGATGTTTGTGGAAGGATTATGTGCATTTTAGTGTATTAATGAATTGTTTAGTTTTTGCCTGTCGAGTCTCCTGTTGTTATTGTAATTTGTAACAGTGAGAGTTATGAAAATTGATTTGGTTGGGACAGGGTATAATACTTACAGTATAGTATCGGTAACCAGTATCCAAAAGTGAGATACTGGATTCTCAGGGGGATACTAAACTTTATCCCAGTTGGATACTGAGAAAAAATATAAATTTCAGACCCTGCCTAACGTAGTCTAACCCTAAGGTAGTCTAAGGTAGTTTAAGGTAACCCTAAGGTAGGCTAAGGCACCCTAAGGCATAGACGGATTTTGTGGGTGGTGCAGGGGGGTGCTACCCCCCAATATTAGCTATAACCCCCCCCCCCCCCAAACCAAACATGTCCACCCCTCCAAAAAAATTTTCAACCCCCCCAATATTCGGCATAATAAAAAAATAATTAAATAGTCCACTCCAACGTGCAGAGTGTTGATGATACAAAAAAAACGTAGGAGCACACTCAAATAGAATCTGAAAAACGCTCCTCTCTTGCATTCACTGGTTTATTGGAGCAATTGTAAAGTTTTGAAACTCTATTGTCTCCCCTGAATAGAGTTTGCAGTGCCTTGTCATGCAAATAGCTTGCTTGCAAGGAACATTTGGAATTTTTACGAACATTATTTTTAGTTTTTAATTCTTTTAGGAAATAGACTTGCCTAGATTTAATCTTTACGCCCCAAATATTATTTACATCGGAGTTGCATCATAAATTGACAAATTGTACTCGGATTCAAACGACACAATGTCAATGACTTTATAAAAGTAAAAGCATATTGTGTATTGGCCTATTGGGTTTACACTTTTACAGGTTTATTTAACTTTAACTCTCTCAAGTCTCAACAGACAATCGGACATGCCAAATCCATTGATATGACAAATTGACAACTTCAAAAAACTTTTTTTTGAAGCTAGAAATCATGATTTTTTTCAAATTTTTCCAGGGATACTTTGTTTTCTGCTCTCTAGACTACCCCTCGCGGCTCTAGTGCTCCACCCCTAGAATATAGACCTTACTGGGGTTTGGTGACACTTTGTGTTGCTTCTGTCACCTGCTCACGGCTCACCCCCCTAAAATTTCTGGCACCACCCCAGTAAAAATATGAAAATCCGTCTATGCCCTAGGGTAGGCTAAGGTAGTCTACCTGCGATCAGGCCTATAAATAAATAAATAGGCCTGAAACAAACCCAAAAGTCCATGCCCTACAACTGTATTTTGGTTGTAAATCTGATTGGTCTATGAGACAAAATATTTTATAATCTCTCACTTGATTAAGATTGGTTGGTGCTAATTAGATTAGACTGTTGTGGTTGTATATTTTATAGTGATCACAACTATAATTAGATTGTTGTTGTCATTGGTTGAAATTTAAATTTCTCCATAGACATTTTGATTGGATAATAAATAATATAAACTTTGCTGTGGGTTGAAAGCAATCGGATTAAGGTTTGTGTCAGGCTATTATTTTTAAAATAGAGCCTGATCTCAGGTTAGTCTAAGGTTTAGGATATTAATAGTGTTGACTGGAATGGTTTAATAGATGAGGATAAATGCTTAAACGAAATAACAAATAGTGTTATAAATACGATTAATCAAATTGTAAATAAACATGCTCCATGTAAAGTAGCTTCCCAAAGTTTAAGGAAACAACTTGACAAACCCTGGATAACTAAGGGAATTCTAAAATCAATAAAAATAAAGCAAAAAATGTTCTATACTCATTTCCATTCTAATAATATTAGCATAGTAAGTCAATATAAGCTTTATGCTAATAAATTAAACTATATAACAATGCTTAGTAAAAGGCAATATTATCTGAATAATTTTGATAAATGTAAAAATAACTTAAAAACAACATGGAAATTAATAGGAATATTAATAAAAAGGAAAACTAAAAGCCAACCATATCCATCTAAATTAGTTATGAATAATAAAGTATATACAGAGGAAATTGATATAGCAAATCAATTTAACCAATACTTTGCAAATGTTGGCCCACATTTGGCTAGTAAAATTGAAAAAATTAATGAATCCCCAATAAAATATATTCGAAACTGTCCGAGCTCTAGTTTTGTATTATCCCCTGTACGAGCTTCAAAAGTATCTGAATTATTGTCTAATTTAAATACAAACAAGGCTAGCATTAATATTCCCAATACATTAATAAAAATTGTTGCGAAACAACTCTCAATACCTTTCACTTATATCCATAATAAATCATTTGAAACAGGTATTGTACCAGACGTTCTAAAAATATCGAGAATTACTCCTATTTATAAAAATGGTACATGCACGGATCCGTTTAATTATAGACCTATATCTATTTTATCACCCTTCAGCAAAATATTAGAAAAGCTTATGTATGAACAATTAATATCTTTTATTGAAAAATATAAAATTTTGTATGAGTACCAATTTGGATTTAGAAAAGGTTATTCTACAGAACAAGCGATTCTTGAAATAACAGATAACCTAAGAAATTATTTAGATAATAATCAAATAGTATGCGGCTTATTTCTTGACTTGTCTAAAGCATTCGATACCGTAAATCACGAGATACTTTTGGCAAAAATGGACAAGTATGGTATTCGAGGGGAGCCTTTAACATGGTTTAAGAATTACTTAAGTAATAGGAAACAGTATGTGAAAATAGGATGTACTGAATCTGAACTACTTGAAATGACCTGTGGGGTACCACAAGGTTCTACACTTGGCCCATTACTCTTCTTACTTTATATTAATGATATGCCTAACTGTGCAAAAAAGCTGAGTTTTCGTACATTTGCTGATGATACTAACGCCTTTTATTCCTGTAAAAATTTGTTGAACTTGGAAAGTACA